TGATGGCGTTACGACCGAAACACTTGCGATGCGCCTTTCGGCCATTTGATACCGCTCAGTTGATGTGCTGAGTCCATTTGGTACGACCGACCTCTGACAAATTTGCACCAGACGCGCTGAGCATTCACTGCATAGGTGACCGGTGATTATAGACAGAGAAAAAAGTCGGATATGCAGACCGACTGCCACTTGCCAACCAGTCAGCGGCGGTACTCGCTCGTCGCCGATTTCGTGGTGCGCTAGTGCTGGAATGTCCGCGCCCAGGGGATTAAACTGTACGGCAGACTCGTACAATTACGATGATGCCCAATATGGCCTTTAGCAGGAATTCTGTGTGGGCGGGCACGTCGCTGGCCTGGCGGTTTGATGGGCTCCTTGCAGAGGGCGAGCCATTCTGCTGGCTCCATCAGAGGGCTACTGAATGGCCAGGGCCGCCGTGTTCCAAAGAAGTCAACGCATAACCCATTTTGGGAGATTGTGCGGAATTTCACCATCGTCCAAACATATTCTTTGCTACTCGGAGCGCTCGTGCGATTCATTTGCACTTTTTGCCAATAGTACCCAATAGCAAACCTCCCAGGCTGTCCCCTTCGCTAAAGCTATAGGACACCGGTCGCCTTCACATTCAACGCGAAAGAAAAAAACCCCAACAATTCCCTATGCGTCGACTATCAGAAAAACGTCAAGAGCCGCTCGGTGCAACGCATGGATGGAGGAGGTAGCGTAGTAGTCTCACTAATGCTTGGAATATTCTCATGCAGCTTTTCAGTTCAACCAGCTTGCTTTTAATTTACTCGGTAGAGACGAGCTGGTCCTCGACGGTCTCCCATTCTATGACATGATTGCTGGTCTCTGCGGCACTTTCCGCGGGTGTAGCGTGAACGACGACCATAACAGCGCCCCTCTCCCTTTCTAAATTACGGGCAATTCCACTCTCCGAGGCTCTCTATGCGACGGGTAAGGCTATAGTACTGAGACGCCACAACGGGTCGTGTCAACGGAGGCAAAAATCTATACACTACCCACCAGCAATCGGCTCTCCATTGCCTTAAGCGGGAGGGCCAACAGTATGCACTCCCCCGGCGACCATCAAGCCATTGTGTCTTTTTTTCATTTGCATGGTGAGTGTGTTGGCAGTACCCTCTTTGTCAAGTGACGAGATTTATATTCGACAAACATTTAAATGGATCGCCCGCCCCGCCTCGTCTGGGGAGAGACATTTAATACATCAAACTATTGAAATCGAGTTTTACGAAATCAAACTTTCGTAAGAAAAGTCAGAGTGGAAGGCATCGCGCCCAATTTGTCCTACTCTCCCATGGGAAAGATGGGCATATACAGAATATATATCCCCGCCGCAAAAAGCAGGGGGGGTCGTGACCAAATTCCAAATCAGGCATCAACGAAAATGTCAAATTCGCGTTGACATTGGGGCGGGCTTTCGATTCATTTTTTCCGAATTGGGTGACAGATCTGGACGAAAACGATAATACGTCGGGAGGCTGCTTCGCTGTAGACTCTCGATCGTGGTGTGATCCCATTTTCGGGAGACTTGGCCTCTGCCCGCTTCTCAACTTCCCAGCGACCTTCCTTCGCTCGGATGCTCGGCATGACACACATCTTACGTGGATACGATAGAGGTTTTCACTAACCTCGTCTAGTCCTGCAGCATTCTCTCATGGACCCTCTCATTCTCAGCCTCGCGTAAAAGTTGTGCTCGCGAGCCGGCAGAACAGTCACAGCGGTCTTTTCACATATCCCTCGAGTGTATTCGTTCTCAGGGGCTGGTTGAAGGGAGTCGACTGAATATACGAGAACGCGTGGGGGCTCAATGGCGATTTTGCCAAAATGATCGAGCAGGGGGAAGTACCGCCTCCAGGAATGGCAGACGTGCGATAGATCGAATCTCATTTGTGCTATATACGCACAATATTCAATTTGCGCCCTCGATGGCCGCTGCGAATTACGATGTAAATAAGGCACCCGAACACAGCGACATACCCAGCGCAAGAGAAGCAGCAAGATGCTTTTTCCAAGGGCATGGCGTCCTTTGGATTCTCGACTCTTCGATTCTATATACGGGTGTTCTGAGTTTCCAAACTCGGATGGAACGATTTGACGTCCTCCGAAGGTGGGAGCTCTGAGGCGGGCAAAAGAACCCTGGCCTGCGCCCGTATACGTGGCGGGTGACGACTGCGTCGAACTTTGAAGAATGGATTGTGATCAGGTGATCCTTGCAAGCACGACGAGACCGCAGTCTTGGTCATGCTTCGGTGCTTGCTGATTGGGGGGAGAACCAGCGCTCCCTTTCCCCCCCTTTTTCCAGGTCCATCACTCATCACACCACGCACGCCCCTGGTATCTTTGCATTTACTAGAACGAAGTACTGACCACAATCTCGCAGAAGTCACCTGTCACGATTAGATTGGAGAGAGCCCCTTATCTGACATGAGAGAGTAATTCAATCACAGTAGAGAAAGGAACCGCTCGCACCGACCCTTACCTCCTTCGCCATTTCTCTATAGGCGCATGACATAACGAAAATGATGCGAGTTGGAAAGAAATTGTTGCGATATTTCTCATCACTTTAATTTGGGATTCGCTGCGAATGCCAAGTCGACGGTGGTCAGCAGATTTCGATCATCCCATCATCGTCAAGCCGTTTGGCGGTCACCACGTAGCGTTCGCCATCCTTCGACAGCTGCGCACATGAGCACGCCAACCGGGCAGATCTAGACACTTTGCTCCAAGGATACGATGATATCTTCTAGGGTTTGTTGGGGAGATTCGCTTCAATGCGGGAACAGAGTGGCCTTTGCAGGTATAGGGTCGTCTAATGTATAGTATGCTATTTCAATGGTGTTATGAAAAGATATACACATGCAGGGAGTGTCAACTGATATATCGAATAGACGAGATCTAAGCTTTATGATTTAGCAGCAGCGAATCGCGTTTAATCTTTCGAGAGTGAGAATGGGAAACGAAAGGGTCTCTTGCCTGGCCAATCGACGTTGCCAGCCACCACGTCAAACAATTTCTCCCAAAGTACACCTGCACCTACAGAGGATCGCGAGTCTATCCGAAAAGGGATGGGTAGAAAACTGTTCCCAATTCGCAAAGAACAGCATTCTAGCGTGGTGGTCCCTTTCGATGGTTGAGTTGACCGGCCACAGAAAACTCCTAGTGGCGTCCTGAAAATCCACACAGAATCCGAAGATAACCTCTATGATTCATAAAAAAGGGTTTTCTCAGCAGTTTTGGCCGATGGCCAGCCGTCCGGTGAAGCGATGTCAGTGCTGGACGCTCCCCCCTGTGCGCGTGCGGGTCGAGAGCGCACCAGTTCGGTTCCCACTAAGGTCCGTATGGCCCCTGGACAATCCACTGTGCCCGGTTACTGCTTTTTGGAACGAGCGCTATGCCAATGTCCTACCCGAGGGCCACCCTGGTCTGGACGAGGGGCAAACCCATTCATGGTGTCAACGCATCG